GCTCACAGGCCCTTCCGAGCCCAGGGCCCTGGAGAGCGGCTTCCCCAAACCTCTCTGACGTCAGTGCCGCCAGCGCCCCTTTCAGGTCTTCCTGTGGGGGTTTTGCCTCCTTTTCCTTGCTCCCACCGCCTACAGGACAGGAGGAGATAAAGATTGATTCTGTGGTAGCCGCAGGACATTTACAGGTTAGAACTCTGCTTCACAGGGGTCCCATTCACCGTTCCTTCTCTTTTTTCCTTTGACCAACAACCTCAACTCAGGCTTTTCTTACTTCTTTTTCCTTATTTCCACTTCCATGTCTTCTTACAGAATAGTCTGCCAAATTCAGTGCCCGCCCACTTATCTTGCTGCTAATCTAGACTTTTATTTCCTTCAAAATGTAGCTCAATAATTTCCTCTAAGACACTCACCGTGATTATTCTCTTACTCTGGGCCTCTTCAGCACTGTGCACCTAACTAGCACTTTATTATTCTGTACCTATTTACATGTGACTTTGTTGGAAATGCTGTTTCCATTCATCCAGATGTCCTGCGCCTTCCCCAAACGATTCTACACCTGCTGTAGCACAGGGCAGCATGCAGCTCTCCAGACCTTCCAGGTGCCTGCTCAGCCCCCTGTCCTGCCCACATGCTCCCTCTGCCTAACCAGGGTCTCCTAGGAGCCTGACAGGGGACTGACTCAGGGAAGATGCTTGCTAACCGCTGGCTGAATGAATGAAGCAGGCTTCACTGAGGCTCCTGCAGGAGAAAGCCCCTAGGTAGCACATTTATCAGGACTGAGACCATGATGCTGCTGAAATGCTCAGCCTCACCCTTCCTTCATCCTCACTCTGATCCTTCTTATACTCTCTCTAAATTAACAGAACAGGTGTTTATGGAAGAGTAAGAGGAAGGGGAAGAGAAGAGAAGAAAAGAAAAGGTATTGGGGAAGAAAGAGGCGAAGAGAAAAAAAGAAAAGGAGAAATAAGTGGTGCTTAAAGGGGAATAGAGTCCTTTTAGGCAAGATGACTAGAAGACAAAAAAAAACCTGACTGTATATGCCTCCTGGTTTGATAAAATATGAAATATATACATATCAGCTTCGATTTTACTTTGTAAACTTTTCGTGAAAGTAAAAGTGTACAAGCCATTTATGTTTTGTATATGCAAAGATTTTATTTTTTTTTTGATCCAGTGCTGGCTAAAAAATGTCAAGTTACCCTTTTTCTCCTTTTTGTGGAGATGGGGGCCTCACTATGTTGCCCAGGCTGGTCTCAAATTCCTTGGCTCAAGTGACCCTCCCGCCTCTGCCTCACTGAGTGCTGGGATTACAGGTGTGCATCACCACACCCTATGCAAATTTTCTTAACAAACCCAACCATGTAAACCGCATTCAGTTCAACAAACAGAACATAACCAGTCCCTAGAAGCCCATTTTTCATCTCCTCCATTACTATACCCTGCCATATATAGTATATACACATACGGTATATACATAATATACATATATAGTATACATATACATTATACCAAGGGGAACACACTGTCCAGACTTTTTTGTCTGTTCTTGAACTTCATGTAATTGTCTCACACATTGTTTCTGGCCTCTTCTGCTCGGTATCATGTTTGTAACATACACCTATGTCATGGTGTGAAGCTGTAGTTTATTCTTTTTCATTGGTGTATAGTATTCCACTGTGAGTATGTGTGTGTGTCTGTGTATATATATAGAGATATATAGATAATAGATAGATTGCAACCTACTTATTAATTTGACTGATGTTCATGTGAGTAGTTTTCAGTTTTGAGGTGCTATGAATAGTAAGATTAAAACTAAATGCAATGCACAAACCACTAGATCTTGGGGAAATCTGACTATGCCCTAGATGTTACACACATGGAATTTATGTTTATTTTCTTAGATGGAATTATGCTACTGGTCTATGTTGGGAATGTCATTGTGACACAAATGCTGAAGTATTTACAGATGAAAGATTGAGATGCCTCCAACTTCCATATCATTCCAAAAAAAACACACATTATACAGCTAAATATGGCAAACGTTAACAACTGGTGAATCTACATAAAGGCCTAAGTGTGTTCTCTGTACTAGTCTTAGCTTTCCTGTATGTTTGAAAATTTGCATAAAAAGAGTTCAAAATATAAAGCTGCAGGAAAAATAAATACAATGAGATACCTAAACATAAATAGAGACACTGGGAGAAAGAGACAGTAGTGGAAGAGAAGGGACCTAGCAGTAAGAAACCGGTTTTGAGTGCTGCACTGGCTGCTCAACTGCTGCATGATCATGGGAAAATTAACCTCTCTGAGCCTTACATTCTTCACCTTCAAAATGGATTGTACACTCATGAAGTTCACTGCACACATGGAGCAGGAATGCAATGGTTCGTGGTATTATTTTAACCCCCAGACCATCTACCGGACTTACAGCTACTTCCAGGGACCATCCACTTAGATCTCAAAGTCAACAAATGGAACTTTCCATTCTTCCTCCCTCTTAGGAAAACGCTTCCCTCCCTTTCTGACAGGAGTAACATAATTTTTCCAGTCTTTACAGGAGTAACATAATTTTTAGTCCCAGCCAGGATCCTAAGACGTAGACTCCTCTCTGACTCTTCTCTTTCCTCCCCTCTGGCCAATGTGTGGCCCATCCTTGGAAGCATATTTCAGTAAACCCTCTTCTTCATGGTCACTGGCCTGGTTCCTGCTCTTACCCCGGTGCCTACATTATTTCAACCCTCCAGACTGGCCGTACCCTGCTGTCAATCCAATTTCCTCAAGTAAAACCTCTATCACATTACTCTGCGCAGAAAAAAATTTTAAAACAAGGACCGCAAGTCTTCATGGCCGGCCTCACTCTCCTCACTCCTGCCCCCTCCTTACTCCTGATCACTCGTTTCTCACTCCAAGACCCTCATCACCCTGGGAACCAGCCTGCAGAGTCCTCATTCACATTTCTGCACCTGCTCCTTTTGCCTCTGTGATTCCAAATCATCTTGTGAGTTCTTGCTACAGTCCTTGTGGCCATGACTGCAATTACAACTCAGACGACAAGGTCTGCACCTCACGGTCCACTAAGGAGAACAGATCAACAACTGGAAGTGATCTGGGCAGCCACCTAGCTCAACCCTGCCCTGTGCATCCAGCCTCTTTACAGGTGAAGCAGCTCAGGCCCAGCCCCACGCAGCTGTCAGTACAAGCACCAGGACAACCCGAGTGTGAATCCCAGGAAGACCTGAAAGCTGGGACAGCAAGTGAATGGTACACTTGGGAAATGGGCCTTCGTGTCACCTGGCCTCGGCAGAAATTGAACATTTCTGTTCAATTTCAGGTGGGGGCTTGAGTTGCTCTGAGTTCTGAGACACCAAGCTGGTGAGGGGACAAGAACAGAACCAGTCTCCAGAACAGTCAGAAATGGCCAGGAGGGCATGAAAACCTTGTGAGAATGGGGGCAAGGGGCTCCTCACCCCACACAGCAGCATCACTGGGAGGGGAACACCCCTGAGGGGGACCCTGGCACCAGGACACTGGCACCTTTGTCCGGGGCTTGTCACTGGAGCCCCTGCTATGTTCTGTCATCCTCTGCCATCACGGCAATCACACATCTCCAAGTAAAGTATGCTGACATCGTTCTGCCACTCACATCACTGTCACGCTGTGCCAACCATGCCCTGGACCCAGGTCTCCCAAGAGCCCAGTGCCCCTTGCCCTATCCCACTATTACATGCACATGGCCTCTTCCCCTGAACTCTAAGACCCCACAGGCAAGCACCTTTATTTTTAACTCTTCATAGTGACCAGAACAGCACTGGCCACAGAGCAGGTGCCAAGTCCAGCTCTGTGGTGAACAAATGAGTGAAGGCTGATGGCTCCTACAAGAATCCCTTAGTAATATTTCAGCACTAACTAAACAATCTAACAATACCATGGTCACCACACATTTAGATGAACTGCCTCCCTTCATTCTCATAGCACCATGAGCACAGGTTCCATGAACAGTCTCATTCCACAATGGAGGAAACTGAGACCTGGAAAGCTCAAGGGAGATGCTCAAGGTCAGGGTCAGCAAGTGGAGGGGCAGGATGGATTCTCTTATGTCTTGAAGGAAGCACAGGGATAACCTTGATCATCCGTCAAAGCATTTCAGGATAAGGAAAAGCCAGGTGGGGTCAGTACAGATGGGAGGTCAGTGCACAACTCACAAAGAAGTTATGAAACAAAAAAGAAGAAAATCAAAGAACAAGGAGAGGCCGTTCCAGCCACAAATCCTCTCCCCGCTGGTGTCCTCATTCCACCCATGCAGACTCTCCATACTGCCCCTTGCCCTGGCAGCCCCAAAGCCCTGCAGTGCGCTCTGCTGGCAGCCTCTGTGGGCTCTCTCCTGCTGCTCCTCCTCCCATGAGCTGCTGTCACACACAATGGCTGCATCCGCACAGGCTCTGAGTCCAGGTCAAACCCAGCCACCACCTGAGGCCTAGCACAGCTCCGCTTCCTCTGTGACTCGGGCCACTCTGACCTCTACCATCACGAAGCCCCCTCACGCCCTCCTACATGCACACTGTGAGCTCCGATGCTTTTATGCACGTTAGTCCTGCCCACTTCCTGCCCCAAGAGAAAACCACTAACACAGGGCCCACATGCAGGGAGCACTCAATAAATATCTGAACAAGCTCAGATGCCCCATCTTTTGCTGTTGGTATCTTGCTCTCAAGCCCTCAGTGTCTTTAATCATGGACACAGTGTAGGTGTTTGGGGGTCCTCATGACCGACCTGTCTCCATACAGCCAGAATAATGGCCTCATGATTTCCTGCTCTATTATTCGGCTCCTCTCTTGACACAGGAAAGCAGCTCCTCGTGCCCCGTGGTCCATGCTGGACCCATTTACCCACCTGCCATGAAATCTCCTTCCTTTGCTAGGAATACCAGAGCTATGGCAGGACCCCTGACCTGAGCTTTCAGAACTCCCCAGTTCCTCACCTGCGGGTGGAGACAGTCTTACCTGGGCAGACCCTGCAGTCCTGCGGTTCCACGTACTCCCCAAAGCAGTCTATCTGGGCTGGGGTCACATGCCTCCACTCCTCCTCAGGGAAGGCCAGGGCCATATCTTTAAATGGCCCCAACCCCTGCAACAACAGGAGATTGCTATGAATAAAGAAAGAATCCTAGGCCAGAGACAGTGGCTTATGTCTGTAATTCAACTTCCTCCCAACCAGCTTCCTCCCAACAGTTGAACTGGAGTAATCTACTTGTTTGAGCCACTGTGGTTTTGAGCCTCTGTGGCTGGGGCTCAGCTTGCGCCTAACAACCAAGGCACCTCATTTCCACTCTGCAGCAGCCTCCACTCACACCTCATGCTTGACAGAGCCTGGCAGCCGCTATTTACCTTCTCATCAAGAAGAAAGTTCACATTCAGCCAAGCCCTGTCTTAAGAACAAGGCTGTGGTAAATTAAATGCATCCTCAATTTCTCACTCACTGCACCATGAAGAACTATTATGGTACAAGGGAGGGTCCAACCAAATTAAAAAGCACTGATATCATTCCTCATCCCCTCCAAAGTACGTCCTTGGAGAACAGGAAAGGGAAATGATGCTGGCATCCAGCCTTGCCCAAATATGGCTTGAGCAGGGCCAGAGTTGATCCCCTTCTTTTTTCTGCCAAACACCTTTTCCTCTTCAAAGAACTCTTTTAGACTCGCCTCCTTGAGGAAGGTGCCCCACTGGAAAGCCCCCACCTCCCTGGTAGCACTCAGCACCCTGTGGAAGAGAGAGCACCCCATCTATGCTTCAGTTACACCATTTGTGGCAGATGAGTAATGTTAACGAGGTAGTGTGGCCTAGTGTGGCCTCTGTGGCCACAGAGACCACCCTGCTCAATGCTCCTGGAAGCCCCAACCCTGAGTCAGCCACATTCCTGCTGAGGTTAGGAGACAGGGAAGTTTCCAAAACAGAAAAAGCAGCAGCAGAAGTATCCATAAAGGACAACCACAAAGGGTTACCTCGGGGCCAACCAGCATGGCCTAGATAGCCCTAGGGGGTTTCTATCTGTAACAGTTATTAGGAGTCCATCTGTGGCCGGGTGTGGTGGCTCACACCTGTAATCCTAACACTTTGGGAGGCTGAGGCGGGTGGATCACGAGGTCAGGAGATCAAGACCATCCTGGCTAACACAGTGAAAGCCCATCTCTACTAAAAATACAAAAAATTAGCCAGGCACGGTGGCGGGCACCTGTAGTCCCAGCTACTCGGGAGGCTGAGGCAGGAGAATGGCATGAACCTGGGAGGCAGAACTTGCAGTGAGCCGAGATTGCACCACTGCACTCTAGCCTGGGCGACAGAGCGAGACTCTGTCTCAAAAAAAAAAAAAAAAAAAATAGTCCATCTGTGGCTCAGGCTCCACACATAAGGTTCAAAGCAAATTAACAACTGGGGCTGGTGGTTCAGCGGAGGAAACCACACCATCAGGTCCACCAGGACTAGGAAGGGAGAATGACTCAACTTGGGGGTGGGGAGGGCGCACTGTTGTGCAGAGAAACCCTGGGGAAGGTGAACCTCAATCAAAGCAACACCATGATCTCTGGAAAGGGAGTCAGAGCTCACCTGCGGTCCAGCGGTAAAGAACCCGGCTGCCATCTCTTGGTCTCTGGGATTCATTGTGGGGAGGCCAGGACCTGCCTGCAGAACAGGTAGTGCTGAACAGGGACAAAAAGCATAAGATCAGAAGGATCAGTGATGTCATGCTGTTAGCTCGTTCAAAGGTGTGCCCCACCAGATGCACACAACCTCAGGAACCAGGAGACTCCAGACAAAATCACTTTTCACTTTGGTACCATGTTTTCCCATGCACAGGGGCCTGGGTGTCCCCTGCCCTGTTCTCAGCTGGGGCCTGGGTGTCTCCAGCCCTGTTCTCAGCTGGCAAGATTGTCCCAGCCCTGTCCCTTTAGGGCTACCCATGCTCCCCAGTCACACTCTGGGAATAACCCCCTTTGAGATTCAGTAGCAAAATAAAGCTACGTATTACTTTAGGGGATACAGTTCATCTGCCCACTGAAAAAGTATTCCTGCAAGTCAGCTGAATATTTCCTGGTAGTTTCTAGAAAGGATCTGAGGGAAAGAAAAGAAAAATAATAGGAAAGCTTGATCCCAGATATCCCCTCCAGACACCAGAGGGTAAAGGGAGAAGAAACAGTTTCACTTCATCTACTTCCTAAGGTGGAGGAAGCAGCCAAGAAAATTCACAATTACACCTCGTGGGTAACTTAGTTGCTCCATTGCTGGGTTTCTGAAGAGGGCTGGCTGCATAGCAGTTTCCTGTGCCCTGACATCCCCACTATCTGCTCTTACTCACCTTGCTCCTGGAAGGCCCGCGTCTCATCTCCAGGGTCCTGACTGAGCTGCTCCTCGGTACCCGGGTTTGGACCTTGAACTCCTTCCCCAGGGGGCATCCCCCACTCAGGCTTGACCTCCACTGGCCCCAGCTGGATGCCTGGCTCCCAAGCGCCTCTGCAAAGAGCTGTTTCCTCCTGCGCCCCCTGCCCGTGGCTTGGAACCTAAGAACAGTTCCCAACACTGATTAGAATGAGGCCTGGGCAAGGCTGTTATGAAGGGAATTGAATTAAAATCTAAAAAGAGAACCAAGAAAAGACCCACTCCAGCTTCAGGGGAGAGGCAGGAAAAATCAGCTGAGCTCTTCCCCAGGACATCAGTGAGGAAGTGAAAAGGAAGCTAAATTCCCTGCATCAGGCCCTCAGCAACTTTTATCTGTCCATGCCATTTGACAAGGATCCCTTCTACCTGCCATCACCAAGCCCAAATATTATCCTGCTGAGGATTTCAGCACAATATACTCACTACTAGAAAAAAAAAAAATTCTTAATTGAAGAAGCTGAAAATAAAAAATGCAAAGCCTAGACCCCGCAGTGAATAGGCTAGTGAGAAACAGTTGCTTTAAAGAGAGCCAGGAAGCCTGGGCAACACGGTGAGACTCCATCGTTACAAAAAATAAAAAAAATTAGCCAGGCAAGGTGGTACATGCCTGTGGTGTCAGCTACTCAGGAGGCTGAGGTGGGAGGATCAACTGAGCCAGGAGCTCAAGGCTGCAGTAAGCTAGGATTGTGCCACTGCACTCCAGCCTGGGCTGTCACCTGACCCTGTCTTGTCTCAAAAATAATAAATTAAAAAGAGCAAGGAAAATCAGAAGGACTCTCACACTGAGAAAAACACACAAAAACAAGGCCTTTCTGGTCCACTTTTAAGCTCCTGAGTTGGGAGTAGGAAAAAATTCTCTTAGGATTCTGAAGACAGGAAGTCAGGGTGACGAGAGTGTGCACGGAAGGCTGAACTACAGAAGGATGGGGGCTTGTGAGCAAGACGGTATCTTCAGTCCTGCTCTCCTTTCCCAGTCGTCCATCAGGGGGCTGTACCACAGAGTGACCGAAATATGGCTGGAACCTCAAGGAAGCACGTGTGGTGCAAGTCACTTGGTGTCATTACAGCAGCACCAGAGAATTGTTACAGGAGCCCTGTGAGCCACAGAGAAACAGCACTGCTACTGACAACCCTTTTCTGGAAAAAGATTCCCCAGGCAGGATTCTCTGCCTTCCCAGAGGCATCTCTGTCCAAAGCAGGGTCAGTTCTATAAGGGACCCCAAAAACAATCACAACTGCCTTCTTTTTGCCTGATGCCCACAAGGGAAATATGGCCAGGCCTCTGCCCTCATGACCAAACAGAGGCTTCAGGCCCTTCTGCATTAGAGCATCTCCCCTGGAAAAGGCTTTTCTTGCTGAAAACTCCACTGCTCTCCAAAAAGAGCCTCAGGGAGTCTGAGGGCAGAGGAGGGAGGTTCCACACCTCATCCACTCCTACTTCCTCAAATCTTTGGATTCTTTAACACTCCCTGCCCACACCAAGGGCGCCAGACCTGGATCCCCTCCTCACCCACCGCCTTGGCCTCCAGCGCTCTTTCTGTCAGGTCCTCCACTATGGCAGCCAGAGCCTTGCCACTCTCTGGGCCATGTTCCCGGATCCAGGTGTAGAACTCGCGGGGCAGGATAGTGAGGAACTGCTCCAGCACCAGCAACTCCAGGATCTGCTCCTTGGTGTGCAACTCGGGCCTCAGCCACCGACGACAGAGTTCCTGGAGCTCCCTAAGAGCTTCCTGGGGTCCAGCTGCCTCCTGGTAGCGGAACTGCCGAAACCTTAGCCGAAAAGTCTCTGGACTAGGGTCTTCCCTTCCTCTGCCCCATGGCAACTCTTTCTCCAGTTTCACCACAGGAACACCCAACTGCTGCTGAGGAGCTTCCGCCATCTCTGGATGCTCTTTAAGCATCTTCACACTCCCTTCGAGGAGACCGAGAATGACCACATCAATGACCCTTTTGAGAACGAGACATGTAGAAGGTCAGCCCATCCCAGTTCTGTCTCTACATCAAGGAATATTCCACTGGAGAACACAGTAATTACCTTTTTACAAGGCATTTTCAAAAGACTGAACACAGATCCCAAAAGTCAGGTCAATTCAACATAGTAATCATTTGCTAAGCACCTATTAGGTACAGAGACTAAATAGAAAATGTCTAAGATTTTGCTTATACCCACAAACAACTTAGGATCTCACTGAAGAATAACACTATAATCAGAGAATAATATATAATGGGTTATAACTGGGTTAGTCACCGGGGCCTACTCTTCCAATACTAAAGGAAACATACATGCAACACACACACACACACATATACACACACAACAGGTAGGCAGAAACAACAAACAAAATAGAGAACAAGACACACTGGGAGTTTGCCCTCTTGAAACTCCTATACTGGTACAGCAGACAGAAAAAGTCAAATGGAAGCAACTTTTTTAAAAACTGCAAGTGGGGACAAGTTCTAGAAAGAAAATAAGTAGAATGCTCTGTTAACAGGGGGCAAATGACTTGAAGAAGGCTTTTCTAAAGACATGACACTGGGCTCACTTTAAGGATGAGAATGAGTCAGTTATTCTAAGAGCATTCCAGGCAAAAGCCCTGAGGCTAAGAAATTACGTAGGGTGTCCAAGAACAAGACATATTTCAGTATGGCTTCAGCAGAGCTGCAACAGAAGAGGTGGCAGAGGCAGACAGAAACCACATCACCCAGAGCCTGCGCCACAGTAAGAATTACGAACTTTATTCTTATTTCTTACTTTAGCGAGGAACTACACGTTTTATAAAAGTCATTCTGCCTGTATGTTGACAGGGAATAGGTTAGAGGTGGCAAGAGGGAAATGGCACTTACAGTGATTCAAGCAGGAGATGATAGGGGCTTACATCAGGGTGGTGGCAGAGAGTCAGACAAAATCAAGACGTATTTTGGAGATTAAAACCAACAAACTTGCTGACGGCTTAGATGTGATGGGGCACTCAACCTGAAAAAGACAATGGAGCAACATATATACATTATAAATGATCAAAAGATTTCTAACGTGTACAGGCTTTACTATTTAGAAAGCATGTGAACACAAACTTCATTTAATACTTAAAATACTTCTGTAGGGTGAGTACTACTCCTCCTACTTTTCAGAAGGAAAAAAAAAAGAGACTAGATGATAACTGCCTCCCAAAATACATGGTACAGATTGAAACAAAAAAAAACATGCGAAGTCAAAAGAGAGAGAACTAATCAAAGTCCAAGTATTCAAGGAAAACAAGAGGCTTGAAGTAGACTGGAGCATGAGTCCTATTTACTTCCAAGTGGATTAGGTGGAAGACCTAGGCTGGGAAGACACACTTGGAAGTCCAAAGCATCAGGGGAAGGGGATCCTGCTTGTCAGAAAACGGAAAGATCACCTGACTGGAGCAGAGAACCGGCAGCTGGCAGGAGGCACACCCCAAAGCATCTGCTAAATATTCTATTGGGAGTTTGTGTATTTATCTACCCCCACTTAAACCAATTTTATATTTTCACTCTATTCATTGACTCTGCAACATTAAGATTTCTCTTTCATTCCTTTCTAGCTATTGCGTTGGTTCACTCCACTAGTGCATTTAATGCACTACAGTGCAAATGTTTACCCATGTGTCTCCCTCTAACAGACTCCCTGGAGGCAAGAAAGATCCTCATTAATCTTTTATCTCTGCCATTTGACAAACAGAAGGTGCCCCATTGCTATTCTTTATCTTCCCCCACCCATTGTTACTCTTTTGTTTCTTTTTGAGACAGGGTCTCAGGGTTTTGTCACCCCAGCTGGAGAGCAGTGGTGAGATCACTGCAGCCTTTGCCTCCTGGGATGAGGCGATCCTCCCACCTCAGCCTCCAGAGTAGCTGGAACTACTGGCAAGTACCACCATGACCAGCTAATTTTTTTTATTTTTGTAGAGACAGGGTCTTCCTACATTTCCCAGGCTGGAGTGCAGTGGCATGAATGTAAGTCACTGCAGCCTTGAACTCCTAGGCTCAGGAGATTATCCTGCCTCAGCCTCCCGACTAGCTGGGACCACAAGGCGCGTGCCACCATGTCCGGCTACTTTTTAATTTTTGTAGAGACAGGGTCTTGCTACGTTGACCAGGCTGGCCCATCACTATTCTTTCAATCAGTGTCCTACGTGATTACTTTGACTTTGCAGAGAGTTCTGCTTTGGTTCAAGATCTCTTCGGGTTCGTAGCCAGCCCTGCACTAAGCCAAGCCTGGCAGAACGGGTTCTGCCTCGCTCCTACCTGAGCCTACAACGCGGCGGCCCCTCAGAGTCCAGACCCGCAGGACCTCGGGGCCGCGGAATGCAGCTCCGGAGAGACTTGCCACCCCCAGCCGGGGCTGAGTGTAGGGAGACGGGCTCTAGTGCAACCCCGCTGCCGCCGAGCCCCGTAGCGGCACCAAAACCCGTCAACGCGGCCGTTTACCACCTGGCCCGCCACCCGCCGCGGCCCTGAAGAGGCTCTCACCCGCCAGGGTCGCCAGTGCCCTCCGCGGACCGGAAGTGAACCGCGGACGCTGTCAGACAGGTGCGTAAGGAAAGACTCGCTTCCGTGTCCTCTCTAGCATGCTCGGAGGTCTCGGCGGATGCGCCTCGATGGTCGCTGATCCCAGCCGGCTGTTACCAGACCGGCGAGGCGAGACCACCAGGGCTTCCTCAAAACTGACTGCTCAGCTCGAGGCGCTCTGTCGCCAGGCCCGTTTCCACCTCCGTGCTTTTGCACCTGCTTGCCCTCCGTGAAGAGGACTCAGTGCATCGCCAGATACACTACTGGACACAGCACCTGCCCCAAGGAGCTTTAGAATCCAGTCGGTCCGTGCGTTGACTATTCCGGCCGCCAGGGCCTTGCGCCGGGCGTAGGGGCAGAGGAGATAGAGGGCGCACTGGGTCTTATGGGCTCACATAAGAGGTGCCTGACCCCGAGTAGTGTGCGCGCGCGCGCGTGTGTGTGTGTGTGTAGTCAGGGAAGGCTTCCTGGAGGAACCAGCATCGGATCTGTTTTTTGTGGGGGTTTTTTTGGTCTCTTTTTGTTTTTGTTTTTTGAGAGAGAGAGAAGTCTCGTTCTGTCTGCTAGGATGGAGCGCAGTGGTGAGATCACAGCTCACTGCAACCTCGAAGCCCTGAGTTCAAGCATTCCTCCCACCTCAGTCTCCTGGGACTTTTTTTCAATTTTTTGCAGAGAGGGGGTCTCTCTATTTTGCCCAGTCTGGTCGCCAACTTCTGGACTCAAACGATCTTCCACCTTTGGCCTCCCAAAGTGCTGGGATTGCAGGCTTAAGCCACCGCGCCCAGCCTGAAGGCAGTCTGCCTCAACTGGATGGCCCAGTGTTCCTCCAGAATCCACTCAGGAAACAGGAAACCCTCGTCTTACTCTTCTCCAGCACTTTGCAAAGTGTCTGATACAGTATTTGCTAAAAATATATACTTACAGAATAAATGAACTTCTAGAATATAACATAGGTGTTAGACCATCTCATTTTATCCTCTATGTCTCTGTCCCACTTTCATATTTTTCTTGTCTGCCCATATTTGACTTGGGTTTATTTCTTCACCTTTTTGTTAATAACCCACTTTTCAGCTGTTTCTCATATGCTACAAAATCTACAGTTTTTGTTTGTTTGTTTGTTTTAGAGACAAGGTCTTGCTCTGTCACCTAGGCTGGAGTACAGCAGTGCTATCATAGCTCACTACAGCTTTCAACTCCTGGGTTCAAGCAATCCTCCCACCTCAGCTTCGCAAATAGCTGGAACTACAGGCATGAGCCACCACACCCAGCTAATCTTTAAAAAATGTTTTGTAAGGACGGAGTCTCACTATGTTGCCCAGGCTAGTCTTAAACTCCTGAGCTCAAGCAATCCTCCCCACTTGGCCGCCCATATTTTTGTTTTAATTAATATATTTTTTCATTTCTAGAATTTCTATTGGATTTTTTCCAAATATTCTAGATTGATCTTTTAAAAGAAGAATTTACTATATGTTTAGGCTTTTCTTTATACATAGTAAATAGAGTTGAGCCTGATAATTCTGAGATGTGAAGTCCCCTGAGATCTCTTTCTGTTATCTGCTATTTCCACTGTTTTTGATGGTGCCACTTCCACCAGGAGTACCCGACAGCATCCATTTCCCATATCTCATAATCTCTGCCATTATCCAGCTTTAATCGTTGCCAATTGACAGGTGAAGTAAATGTTACCTCATTTTTTAATTTGCATGTTCTTCATTATGAGTGAGGTCAGTCATTATTCCTACTTTCATTAACTTCTTGCCTTCCCTTTTCTGTGAACTGACTTTTGTTTGTGTTTCTGTTAAGCTGTTTATCTCTTTCTTATTGATTTATGAGTTCTGGGGACATTATATAATGTCTCTAGAGCATTGAATACTGTCCCCAGGACATTAACTATGTCTCCAGTACATTAAATAACGTCCCCAGAACATTAATTGGGGGCATTCCTCAAACATATCTTCCTCGAACATACCATGGTACCTGGCTTCCTTGTGTGACAGGCTGCTCATTTTCCTTGGAAATGTTTTTGTGAAACTTGAGTTCCAGGATAAAGTGAATTTATCTAGAGAAGATTGATATTTTTTTCTTCCGTGTAAATTTTTTTCTTGTCACCATCACCAGTCCAGGGTCATTGTAAACCAAATCTATAATTTGAGGATTTTTGAACCATGCTATAATAGTAATATGAATTCGGGCTGCAAATATTGAGGGGTGATTTGTGGTTGCAACTTCTCAACCACAAATCTTTGTGGTTTTGTGGTTGTTCAGCTTGGCACTAAGACAAATTGCCTTGCTGGCGCCTGGTGGTCGGGGTACGGGATAGGTGACTTATCTCTCACCCTTACATTGATAAGCCAGCCCTTGTCTATGACCATACCACCCTGAACGCACCCGGTCTCTTCTGATAATCCAGCCTTTTGCAGTCCTTGGTTTATGGGGGGAAAGCTCTCCTATCAGATGCCCTTCCTTGAGTAAACTTTAGGCATAGTTTTAAAAAATCAAATCTCCGCAAGACGGTTTCTCTAGGTATTACTCTTTACTTTGATGTTATAATGCATTATGATTTTGTTATCTCTCTGATACCTTTAGATTTTATTATGAATTTTATCATTTCTGTTGTTTTTGGCTGAAGAATCAGCCCAACTATTTAGTCTGCCATGTTATCAGATGCAGGCTTTCTCCAGGCTTCTTTGTTTATATGTTTTTATTTCTTCCAAATAGGACACTTAAAATTATATTTTTAATGCCTGTATAATATTCCATCCTCTGAATATACTATACTTTTAAAAAGTATTTCAACATGGGGGAAATAATCTAGAATATACTCTTTTATTTTTGCTATTGTAAGCAACCTGGAACAAGCATTCTTGTATACAAATACTTGACCTCACCCCTGGTTATTTCCTTAGAATAAATTCCTAAAATTCAACTCCTGGGCCGCCAAGTATGAATATTTTTAAACCTATTAATGCATGCTCCTATAAAATGCTTTCCAGAAAGTTCATGCCAATTTACATTCCCATCAAATGTATATGAGAGTGCTCAACTCACCAAAATTGGCTAAGACTGGTTTCTAATCTTTGTGGATTTGATTTTCATTTAATTTTTTTATTTGACCAGTTGTATAGGCCTTTAGTAAAAATTCTTTCCAAGTTCTGGCAATAAATCCATCATCAATCCTAGCTTTCACTGGTGGCATGAATTTCCATTGTTTGTTTGTTTGAGACAGAGTCTCGCTCTGTCACCAGGCTAGAGTGCAGTGGCGTGATCTCGGCTCACTGCAACCTCTGCCTCCTGGGTTCAAGCGATTCTCCTCCCTCAGCCTCCCAAGTAGCTGAGACTACAGGTGCGCACCACCATGCCCAGCTAATTTTTGTAATTTTATTAGAGATGGCGTTTCACCATGTTGGCCAGGATGGTCTCGATCTCTTGACCTCACGATCCGCCCGC